GTAAAAACATAATTCATAGTGCCCACTGGAGTTTGTATGTCCATGGGTAGGATAGTTCCATTGGTCTCCAGAGCCAGTAGTCAGTGGGTGTTGGCCCAGGTTCCCTGGGACTCTACCTTTGACAACATGATAAGGAGTCTCAGTTCCCAGCATTGGCAGCTGTTGATTCTTACTACTGGAAAAGTCCATCTCTACACTATCCTCTGGAATAGAGGTGGGGCCTGGATCATTGGCTTCAGCAAAGGGAGGGTTTGGCTTGCTGGACCCAGTACTCTCAGTCTCACGGCCTAGGACCTGTGGGCCATATATACTAGCCTGGAATCCAGGACAATGTCTTTCTCTCAGGGAGCAGCCCTGGGGGGTACAGGGGACTGAACGGGGTTGACAGCTCTTCTGTGAGGAGAGATAAGAAGCAAGGCAGGGCCTACAACTCAGTGCCTGTCACCAAGACTATGTGACAGCAACTCGGTACAACTGGTTGAATGAATAGATTCTCTGTGAACCTGGCTGTCCTGGCTCACAAAGGCTTTGACTGTGACATTGATGCCTTTAGGTTCCCAGGAGCTCTGAGGATCCTCCCAGCCAAAACATAGGGGGAATCACAGATTCCTACCATGTCCCTGTCATGTGTGTGTCCTCAGTAAACAGCAGCTAACTGCAATTGCTCCCAAATTCCCTGCCTGCCTCATGGTGTCCAGGTCAGGTGGGACAACAGTGGCTATAGATGATGGACTCTTGTCTGTTTCTAGTTCCCTGGGAACTCTGAGGGCCAGAAGCCTATGGAACACATCTGCAGTTCCCAGCTCAGAAATGCTGGGGTAACAGACCCGGGCTGTGAGATGAGCAGCAGTTGGTCTCTGACTTGTGTGCAGGCACGCACACACCCACACACGCTAAAGATAGAGGGAGTGAGGAGGGCTGGGGAGATGGTACAGCAGTCACAGGTGAGACGCAGCCAAGCCCAGGGACCCGAGCTGCACTCCAGGAGGAGGGAAGGAGAGAACCAACTCCTGCAAGTTGTCATCTGCTGCCACATGAGCCCTGTGGCATGTGCATCTGCACACACACACACACACACACACACACACACACACACACACACACACACACACACACAGAGAGAGAGAGAGAGAGAGAGAGAGAGAGACATAGGGGCGCATACACACACACACACACACAGAGAGAGAGAGAGAGAGAGAGGGGAGGCATCTACACACAGAGAGAGAAAGAGAGAGAGGGCATCTACACACACACACACAGAGAGAGAGACGTGCATCTACACACACACACAGAGAGAGAGAGAGAGAGGGGGGCATCTACACACACACAGAGAGAGAGAGAGAAAGAGAGACGTGCATCTACACACACACACACACACACACAGAGAGAGAGAGAGAGAGAGAGGGGAGGCATCTACACACAGAGAGAGAGAGAGAGAGAGGGCATCTACACACACACACACACACACACACACAGAGAGAGAGAGAGAGAGAGAGTGATGCATCTACACACACACACACACACACACACACAGAGAGAGAGAGAGAGAGACGTGCCATCTACACACACACACATACACACACACACACACACAGAGAGAGAGGGGGGGCATCTACACATACACACACACACACAGAGGTGCATCTACACACACACAGAGAGAGAGAGAGAGAGAGAGAGAGAGAGAGAGAG